TCTGGGCCTGAATGACTAAGAGAATGGAGTTGGGTGTCTTTCTCTCCTAAATCTGCTCTTTCCTTGGGACCTTCCTCAGCAGCCTCTACAGAGTCCCCTTCCTGAGCAGGTCCAGTGGCTATTGGGGTTTTCAGGGCTCCATCTTTGGTTGCTTCTGGTCACTCCTGATTGATATGATCTGTTCCTGTGTTAAGCCAAATATCCTGAATGTGCTGTTTGGGTCACTCCTACAGGCCCTGGCTCTGGAGGATGCTGAAGGAGGAAGACATGGAAGCAGGACGACCCTGAAAGGTTAAGCCTCTTAATCCTGAAACAGGTAGCTTCTCTGAAATTCTTGGTGTCTTAATGCTTTATGATGAAAGGGGTTATAAGATCATTTCTTTGACCATTGTGGTGTGAAAAATGCCTGGAGAAGGGACAGAGGTCTGCTATGGGCCTGGACACCCATAGATTTCTGGAAAACTTTGCCTAGGAAGTGGTCAGTGATTGTGGAGTCATATATTGGAATTCAGTACCAGTTGGAATGGCACCAAGGGCATCCTGTCTTGTTTGCCTTGACTTTGCATTGTTGTGAATAGTGAAGAATCCAAAGGACGTTCACGGATGGTAGTTCTAGAAGTGTTAAGAGAGAATTAGACATCTCTGGAGAATTGTAGCATTCACTCTGAGAAAATCCACGGAGTCCGTCAGAGGCAGATTCTTGGATCAGGGAGCCTTTGAGCAGGCCCTGGGGGCATTTCTAGTGTTTTTATCAGCTCTGGCCATGTTCTCTTCCAGGTTCAATTTGTCCCTTTAGAAAATAGACACACAGCTGTGATTCCTCTGCCAGGTCCCACATGGAAGCTATCTGAAGGGTCAATACATTTGTGTAGAAACAGATTTTTTTTTTGAGGTTATAAAACCCTGGTCTAGCAAGAGATGACTATTTCCTACAAATTCTCAGTGACAGTAGGGAAGGAGGGTAATGGTGTCTAATATGGTTCTTTTGGCATGTGCGGGTCTTTTTCTCAGCAAGTGCCACACTTTTTAGCTCTCTTATGTGAGACTCAGAGTCGATTGCTTCTGTTTCTTTTTTATCGTGGCTGATTTTATTTAACTTTTAAGCCATTGTGTCTTGGGGTTCCAGTAGGAAACAGATGGTTCACTCTAGTGGAGTACTCCAGGAGACTCTACTGAAAAGGGACTGTTTATAGTGGTGTAGGTAGGATAACAGAAACCATCACTGGATGTTGAAGCATCTCAGGGCTAGCAATGTCAAGGAGTTGTTCTCATGCCTAAGCCTGAAAGGAAGAGGGCGGGATTGGTTATCAGAACTGGAAAGAAAAGCCATATGGAAAGGCTATCTCTGGTAGAAGGATGCAGTCAACAACATGGCTGGGAAAGGGCCAAAAGAATATCCTCATTGAACACCCCTTGGTTCTCCTGTCTCCCGATGGCACCTCCCATTAGGTATACTCAGCAGAATCCAGAAGGCAGGGAGCCATGTTGATGCTGTCCACAGAGATCAGAACTTCTGGGGATGTAGAGCTGAATGGAGAAGGGTGGAGGATGGATATAGAGGCACAAATGGGAAATCTGACCGAGCAAGAGATCCATATTGTTTGAATTATATTATAAAGGCTGTTTTCACTTTAGACCCCAACCATTGGCTGTGAGGTCTGGAAGGAGCAACAGAAATTCTCTAGTCAAACTTAGTTCTTTTTATAATTGAAAAGGCATAGGAAAGTCAAGTGACTTGCCCAAGGCCATTCATGAATTCATTAATTCATGAAAGTTTTTCTTGAAAGCCCATTACATTTTCTCTAGGAAAATAACACAAAACATTTAAAGCAATAAGTAACAGTTAAAGCAAAATCTGAGCAAGTGCAAGGATAAAGCTGTAGGATAGTGCTTATTTCTCATTTATCATTTTGGATTCTTTGGGGTTGCGAATATCAGAAAACCAAACTCGGAGAGGCTCCCACAGCATAGGGGATTAATTAATCGTATCATGGGGTGGACTGCAGGGTGAGTGTGAATCAACAACAGCTCAGCATGTCAACCATCCAGTTTCTTTCCATCTCTCTGCTCACTCTTCCATGGTGTCAGTTCATCCTCAGGCTGGCTTCTCTCATGGAGGCAGAATGGCTGCAGAAATTCTTGGACTCATCGTTTCACACCCCTGTGGTCAGAAGTAAAGAAGCATCCCTTCTAGTAACTTGAAAAGACTAAGAAATTATCTTCCCCAGAAGTCCCTCCCTAGCAAACAAACCCTGGCATTTCATTGGCCTGAATTGAGTCATGTGCTCATTCCTTAGCCAGTCCCAATGGCCAGGCGAGTGCTCCCTGTTGATTGGTGGGGAGGAGAGATTTTTTCTTCTGATTGTCTCTATGGAGGAATGTGTCAGCTTTCCCCAAAGCACCAGGACTGGTTTGGGGGTAGAGCAGAGAGGTGAGTGATATACAAGTAAGCAGAGCTCTGGGCACTATTCAGGAAGGAAAAGATTTTGGAAGAGTGGCAGCTGATATCTACTATGCTGTATCATCTATAGAAACCTTACTAGTTTGCATTAATTGCTGGGGTAATAGTGAGAGGAAAATGACTCTTAACTAGTAAAAGTCTGGATTTTAAAGTGTTTTAACAGCGTAGTTTCAGACAGAATCTTCCCAGTGCTGTTGAAACGCTGGCAATTAGCATCTCCTTTTCAGCATGTCTTAAAACCTAGGACCTTCTAGTAGGTTAAATATGCCTTTTTCAATCCTGTTTAATTTCTAATTTGCTTATTCAACCTTTTTATAGCCAGAGTAAACACCGAACTCAAATTTTGAGTCAGTGGAGATTAAATTACAGTAATGAGGTTCCTCATTTATAACCTCATCTATAAAATGGGAATAAGAATAGCACCTACTTTATAGGCTTGTTGTTAGGATTAACTGAGGTAATTTAAGTAAAGTGCCCAGTGGGCCAATGGCTGGCCCAATAAATGTTACCTTTATTAGCATCATATATCTCAAAATATTGTCACATTTATGTGTTTAGTGCATATTTAATCTATGAAATTAACTTTTCACAACAAATATATTATGTCACTGATTACCTCTGTTAGAAATGAGATAAGTAAGGGTATTAAAAAATTTAGTGTTTATGGATTTTTTTTCTTTTTTTTTTTTTTTCTGAAGTGGGTTTTTTTTTTAGAATTTATTTTGGGGAAAACCTAAATAAAGAAAAATATAGGTAGCATATAGTTAAAGGTAGGTATGTAATCCATGGAAAATAGGGATTTTTAATTTTACTCTAAAATATTAGCTGAAAAATGTTTTAAATAGTTGATGGCCTGTTATGACCTGCCCAGCTGATTTTCTTGTCTTTGTTCTCAGTTTGGAGTCTCTGGAGGGACAAATGACCTTTCTGGGCTTTGGTTTCCCAAACTAGCCCGGTCAAGCTTTTTTGGGTGGATGGATTCTAGGATCACGTGGATTGGCAGAGATGCTGCAGTAGCCAGAAGCTAGTCCTGGGCATTTATTTCAGTGAAATTTCAGCTGACAGAATACTGTGACTCATTTTCTTAGAGCCTTTGGCACCATAAGGCTGACCTTTCAGAATCCTAGGAAGGTGTAGTGTCTGTCTTTCTTTGGGGTTCCCATGTTAATGGTGGGGAGATCACAGGTTGGCACAATGCCCTCAAACTCACCTGTGTTCAAAAACCAGGAGGAGATGGCTTTGTGGATCAAGGGGGGATATGGCGCTGCAAGGGGCCTCTGAATAGAAGAAAAAGTTATAAAGCAACCAGGAATTTATAGACTGTAAAAATTTTTATCCCTCTCTTCCATGAGTATTCATTAAAATTACTTAAATTTTCTATATTGTTTGTTGCCCCTGACGTTAGGCACTATTATGATAACTAGATGAGAACTAGTGATAACTACATGATCGATCCTGAACCAATTCTTTGGTTCATTCGGAAGATGCTGTAGACAAGTGGTTCTCACATGTAGATCGCCTGGGCCAAGACGTTATCAAAATAAAAAGATTTGGGGGATTGGTTTAGGGATACCAATTTTTTATTTTTCCAAGGAATGATGTTTTTTAAAAATCTAACGTCTGTCACCACAGTTTCATAACAGAAAGGTCTATCTTGATGTGAAAATAGAAGGAGATAATTTAAGAATAAAACATAAATCTTTACATTGAAAACAATCAGCTTTAGGAAGAATTTACTACACTGTTCTTATTTTTCTGATATCATCTGTGAAAACTACACCAGGAATGGGTGCTGCCTGCCATCTACCCATAACAAGTGTTGAGAAGAAGAGTTATCTACTTAATGTGCAACTGTAGGGGGAAAAAATCATACCTTTTTGGAGCCTCTCTTGGCGCCTTGGAATTCTTCTTAAGTGAAATGTCTTTGATTTAAAGGGATGCAAGCAATTCACTTGAATAAAAGTCTTGATAAATCCAACTCATTTTAAAAGGAATTGTTTACTCTCAAGCCATTAACTTAAAATTGTTAGTTTAATTTTCCACCACTAGGTAGAAAATTTTGTAATATCTAAATTGTTCAAAATAAAAGATATGTCCACGGTTTTTCTTTTTCCACAATTTAACCCTAAAAAATGAAATATCTGTTAAATTTGATTTGGCCTTTAGTTGTATGTGGTGTGCATCTGTGCGTGGAAAAGTACACACACACAAACACAACTTAGTTTGGTCTGAAAAGCTCCAGGAAGGAAAGAGGGTTTTTGAGAAAAGCACTGTATACATTAGCCGGTGGTGTTAGTACTTGTAGCAACAATTGTATCTTGGAGTTGCCAAAAAAGTACGGCTTAAGATGCCTTTTGGAGTCCTTAAAAAACCCCAAACATACACCCAATCACCCCTGGCGTCCAAAACAGTAATAAAAATGTTCCTCATTCTGCTTCGCTTCACATGCCTGCTTGGCTTTGCCACAAACATGTTTTGCCTTCCAGCCAGGGATTAAGCTTCTGTGCGAGGCCATGACTGGCATGAAAGCAGCTTCCCTGCTCTGGCTGAGGGGGAGAGAAAGACTGCTTGCATGCCTGCGTGAAATCCTAAATGGAATCATGGAATTCTAGAGCCTAAGAGCATTTTGAAGTCCCTGCCTTCCTGCCAGGTTATCCTAACGCTCGTCATCTGGACTGGCAAGAGCTGTCGTATTCCTAACTCTTTACTGAGTGCTAGCATTTCATGGGTTCTTTGTGAACAAGGACATGAACTAAGAAGTGTCTTTCTCAAGAAAAAGCAGACTGTTCTGTGCCACACTCACATCTGTAGTTATTGCCTTGTCCACAGCCTCATTCTTGGGCATAGTGTTACTG